CAACAAAAAAAACAAGTGATACATTATCAAAGTTTTGTGAAAGTTGCCTTACTGATATCTTTCTTTACTTTTTCTGAAATTTTTAAATTTTCAAAAATTTCTAGATCAGAAAACTTAATTATTAGTGGGTCTTTCTAGGGCTTTGTTTCTTTCCATTATAACTAAGCAACATATAACATGGTGGCTGCCCCTCCAGCCTGGATTCCAGTGAAAAATCCTGGAACCAGCTCCCAGATGACCTCTGATTGACATTTAGCATGAGTGCCCCCAACTGCCATCCTCACCTGTCAGCTCTCCACAAAGGACTTTATTGTTTTAAGCCACTTAGTCTAAGACTGTTTGCTATATTGTATAACTTCAGCTACACAGACTCATAAATTTTCTTTATCAAGGCCAGTATGTATCACATTTTAAAATTACTTAATATTTCAGGGTTGTGGAGGTTACTTCATGGCAGGAACCTCTAGGGCTTCCAAACATGCTTTGCTGCTTACAAAAGGATGAAATTTGAATTCACCTGGGGCCACTTCTGAAGGCTCACTCACTCATTCATTGCCATTGAGTTGGAACATCATCTGAACACTGCACAGCGGCCAAGCACAGGAAAATTCCTCCTGTAGGTAAAAAGCAAGTATATTGAATGAATGGAATCCCAAAATCTCTGTAGATATTCATTGAAATGAAAAATAAACAACCTAAATTTAAAAAAAAAAAGCAAGTATATGTAACGGCAATTCTGCAATGATTATTGTCTCATCTGGCCAGTTTTTGTTTCTTTCTTACTTTGGTGATCTCTTAGACATAAGATCAACAATTGGGAGTCTCTGAGCTGTAAATTTGCCACTAACGAATGGAATTTCATGCCTCTTCTGACCTAAGAAGGCCTGTGGACTGATGCTCTCCTCCACTTTTACAGTTGTATTTGTTTCCTATGGCTGCCATAACAAAGGACCACAAACTGAGTGACTTAACATAGTTGCAATTTACTCTCTCACAGTTGGCAAGCTATACATCCAAAGTCAAGAAATTAGCCATTCTGTGCTCTCTGAAGTCTCTAGGGGAATGTCCTCTTTCGTCTCCTCTATCTTTTAGTAGACCTGGGCATCATCTAGCTTGTGGGGACATAAATCCAACCTCTGCCTCAGTCTCATATGACATTTCCTCCTGTGTGTGTCAATGCCTATTATCTTCTTATAAGGATACCAGACATGTTGGATCAGAACTCCATACTCAAGATGACCTCATCTTAATGAATTATGTATGCAAAGACTTTATTTTCTAATAAGATAACATTCACAGTTGTAGGGATTGTTGTGTGCCTTCAAGTCAGAACTGAGCCACAGCTGACCCTCCAGTGGGTTTTAAGAGACACAGGGGATTGCCTATACTTTTCCCATGGCACTGCTGGTGGATTTGAGCTGCATGTCTTTGGGATTGCAGCACAGCTTCTTAGTACTAGGCCACCAGAGTGTGTGTGAACACACACACACTTTCTCTCTCTCACTCAACAGGTAGGTAGATAAGGAAGGGGGGGCAGAGAAAGGGAGAGAGGGAGAGAGAGGAAGGGAGGGAGAGACAGAGAGAAACACAAATCAATCCATTATTGTAGCCTCTCGGATATAAAATACTATTAGTATTCCAACCATCTGCCAAATGTCTAAGTAGGGACTGCGGATGTCAAATCAACACTGCAGATTCTTACTTGGAAGGAACATATGACCACGGTATACCCACCACAAAGATACCTATTCTTCTCAAAGTTTTCAGCTCGAATGGCAAGAATGTCCTGGTTAGGCTAGCTCACTCACTTATTCATTCACTCATTGTTGTCAATTCAGAGCAAATTCATATCTGAGCCTCCAGTGGGTTTCTGAAACTGCAAATCACACAGATTATCCCTTTTCTTCCAAGGAGCCACTGGTGGATTTGAACCACCAGAGAAGTGCAGCCATCGTGTTAGCTGTGCAACTCTCTACTGACCATTACATATCAACCCTTTGAACTGATAATTAAAGTTGGGCTGTTAGCTGGATAAATGATATCTCAGTAATTCTCAGATGTGAATTTTTCACCATTCACTATCTCTGAAGGTTAGACACATAGATGATGCAAGAAAACATTGATTGAACTGAATGCACACGCCTACCTTAGTGGTACATTAACGAGTGGAGTGCCTTACAACATGTGGCGACTCAACTTTGATGAAATATGGTCATCAAGAGTTGCTTACTCCACTTCACCAAAGATGACATTCAGATGGCCAACAAGCACATGAAGAAATGTTCAAAATCCCTAGCTCTAAGAGAAATGCAAATCAAAACAACTCATCTCACCCCAGTAAGAAT